TGATTTTCTGTCATTTGGGCTATCTTTTGTGCAGTATCCACCAGAGCTTTAAAGGCATTACCTATATTGACTCCAATCTCATTTCTCCCATCCACATTCTTATTTGATGCAGATTTCCCTCTGGCCAGTTGCCATTGTTCTTCATTTGGGCTGTTATTTTGGGTCTTTCCTTCATCCTCCTCTATTTGCTCCAGAAATCTTCCTCTTGCATCTATATTATCAGTCTTTGGATCAAGTTTCCTCACAGCTTTTCACACCTGTTCCTGGTTCTGTGTTCTATAATTTTGCTGTCCCCCCTCTTATTTCTGCATTTGTTGATTGTGACATGAGTGGCCTATTTGGCAGCAGGTTTGGCAATATAGAGGCTTTCATTCATACTGTACCAACTGCTGGATCACCTTGCCTTTAGGATCAGTCAGTTTGATTGTTCCTGGTAGCTTCCTTGTGATGTCCATTTCAACTAAAATCCGAGCATATGAGGTCCTATCAGTCACAGTTGTGCAAGCATCAGCATGAAGGGGTTTCCCCAATCCACTCCCAATCTTGCTCAGGGCTTTGTTGCTCCAATAGCTCAAAGGTTTGGGAACTTAACCCATAGAGGAATAGTTTTTAGCACCTCTTCACTGAAATTAAAATCCTCCGTCCATGGCTTTAAAATTACTGGTCTACTATTCAAAGTATAAGGCCCATTCATCAATACCTCATCTCTTTCTTCTAGATTTTGCATCAGAATTATAAAATAGCCATCATTGTGTAGTAATACCTTAGGCTTCCTGATTTTCCCCCATTGACCAGCAACAAACCGTTCAATTGCTCCTATAGTTGGAGTGTTTCCAACCACGTACATGATTATTGCTCGATTCCATGTTTGCTGTCCCTCAACTATGCCTTCTTCCAGAATTTGTACTACTACTTCACCCTCTTGCATCTCCGGTGGTATATATGTTAGATCCATCTCTTTTGCAGCGAATTTGTTGTCCTGAAGCAGTCCTGCCCATGACCTTCCAGTACTTTGTCTAGTCTTCTCTTCCTCAGCTCGTATTGGTACTGTTCCATTGCTCTGCTTCGTTATAGGGCTGGTGGTTACTGTTACATTAGAATTTGCTTTGCTCATGCTCGCTCCACTAGTGATGACCGATGATGTGTGCAATTTTGGAGCCCCTTGACTGACTGGACTCGTAGGGCCAGCTGATTTTACTCGATTACAGCTCAGATCTGGCCAGTTGAGCTCGCTATCACTGTCTAGATCTTCTTCCTCCTCTTGCATTTTTCCTTTTGCATGTTGTTTTCCTTGGTCCCTTGTACTGATTTCTTTGGATTCACGTTCAATGACTGACGTTTTGCTTTGGTTCTTCCTAGGCCTCCCTCTTCCTCCCATCTCCGATGATGGCGCAGGTTATCTCAGCTAATGTGCGCCCGAGAGAGAGAGAAGCACCTAGAACACATTTCAATTGATTGAAGGTTAAATATGCACAATCATATATCACAAGGTTCAAACAAAAATTAATCAATAATTGAGGGACCAAAATGCTATTAACCCTAATAGTTCAGTTGATATATTTCTATGACGAGTCCAATGACAGCCATATGTGTGTTGATTTTTTAAAGGACCCACCTTTTCAAGTTGTGTTCATTGTTATTATTATTAAGTAAAATAATAATAATAATAAGAGAGTTAAATTAAACATTAGGGTTTTCTTCTCTTCCGACCATTTCTTCCCCTTTCAGCAGTCAGCAGTCACCACAGCGGCAGCTATTCTTCGACTTTCAGGTACTGATTTCTCTTCTTTCTTTTTTTTTTCTTTCTCTTTCCGGCTCTGTTTTCCGCGTCTTTTTCCGGCATCAAGTCCTTCTTTCTTTCCTTTTTCTTCTTCCGGCAGTAAGACTTTCTTCTTCTTTCCGGCAGCAACTGATTTCCGGCATAGCTGCTCTTTCTTTGTGTTCCTTCACCTATGTTTTCTCTCTTTTCTACACGTCTTTCTTCTTCTGTTTCTATCTTTTATTTTATTTTTTCAGTTTTTGTATACAAGTAATTGCATATTTACTTCTCTCTATAATTACAATTACAGTTAATTTCTCTCTTAAACAGTGTATTCAATGAAATATTTGCTAATATGTTACTATTACTATTGAGTTTTTGGTTATTTATATATGCAAATTTTGGCTTCTCACTATTCGTATGCTTTTGTTGACTTGCATCATCAAATAGTAGCTGTTTTCCCATTTCTACACTTTTGAAGTTTGGATATTCACTATTCCAACCCGTTTTCTGACAATCAGAAAATCTAATTCAAATGCAGCACATCTTTGGCGTTCTGTTGTACATATAGGAGATCATCAAGTGGTTGCCCTTGGTTCTGATTTGCAGGCTACTTTCTACGCTTGAGTTTAACTGAAAAGATTTAGCCCATGCAGTCAAACAACAAAGATCTGCTTCATTTGGAGGCTGAAGCCTCGCCCTTGGAATCAAAACTCCTCTTCTGCAATAGAGATGCCGGAATACAATCCCAAAATTTGAAACCTGAACTTTCTGATAAGAAGCCTGACATTTCTTCTGTACCCAAAAGCCAAGTTCTATCAAAGATCAAGGATTTCTTGGGAGTCCTTTCTGAAGATAATAAAAACCTGGAGCTTGCTGCTATGAACAACCCTCAGAAATATGATATTGAAGCTCTTACCGGGGAAGAATCTGAATACATAGAGATGGACTTAATGTTGGGTGTCGCGGAACTTCACACACAGGAGGCTGTGTCAGCTGCTGAATCCGCAATAGCAGGTTACCAACCCGTAATCAATCTGGCTACCAGTGATAATGATACAGAATCTGAAGACAGAAGTGATGAGGATGAAGATTCTGATAGCAGCAGCGGCGAAAGTTCTGATGATGATGATGGAGCTTCTGCTGTGAAGGATTCTTCTAAGAAAGCAGTGAAAAGGAAGCGACAGTCAGAAAACCGAGCTAATATAGTTGAGCTATCTTAGGCTAATTGGAGCTGTTATTTGTGAGAAATTCAGAAGATAGTAGCAAGTGTGCTTCTCTACGATGCTCCTATAAATCTTGTTGGTACATTTGAGGTTGCTTCAGTTCTATCCTCTATCACTCGAAATGATAGTTTTGTTTCACATCAATATATAAGAGGTTGATGTCTTTCGACTATGTTAAATGTGCTTATCATCAATTTTGCTCTTATTCAAACACATAATTACTTATTTATAAAGAGTTTAAGTTGTGTACACTGTATTTTATGTTTGTTAGCCGCTTTCAATCAATTAATCTTAATTAGGAATCACAAGCAAATTCCTTTAAGTCGACAACTTTGCTTGTGGACTTGGGCTTAAGCATAACAAAAATCTATTCAGGCAACAGGTAGCCATATAGAGACTCGGATAAAAAGGATTTCCCCACACCTCTAGGCTCTAGGAAATGAAACTTGAGGCATTTATGCGCGAAACATACCAACTGCCTTGCGTTTGAGTAGGCCACCACGGTTCTCTTGGAATAGGTCATGCTCAGCTGGTTTTGAAGGTCATAATACAGCAAAAAGACTAGCCTTTAAAAGGTCGAATTTTAATTAAACACAAAAATGTTAAACCCTATTCGCATCTGAACCTACTGATTGTACACCACGATAAGGTTCACTTCATAGTAGTTGAAACACATATTCTCTTATATTAGAAGCGACACTTGACCAGCCTGTTTCATCAACAAGCCTGATTGGGACTTTTCTGATATCCATGTGTTCCGCTCTCGCTTCCTCCTGTTAAAACACTAGGAGTCTCTGAAAAAATCCACTGTTTAAATCAAAGCTAGCTTCTCGGTCGAATGGGGACTGTGAAGACAAGGGCGAAGATGAGGAAATGGTTATAATGAATAAGGAGAAGCAGAAATTAGCCAATTTTTCGAATGACAATAGTGAAGACCAGGGGTAAACTGAGGGCGAAGAAGACAAAGTGGTTATAAAGAACAAGGAGAAGAGGAAGGTGGGGAATTAAGAAGTAGGAGTAGTGAATATGTGTGTCAAGAGTGAGAGGGACAACGAGGGAGAAGATGATGAAGTAGTGGTTGTGAAGCATAATAATAAGAAGAAGGAGAAGAAGAGGAGGAAGGTGGGTAGTTCGGAGCTGGCAAATTTGGGGGTGGATGATAGTGTCATGTTGAATGAGTTTTGTTTGAGAGAAACTCGAAATAGTGCTTGTAAAAATAAAATTGATACCAATCACAGTAATAATGACCCTAAAGATTCTAACTTTAGGGGTAACAACATTACAACTTTGAAAACCAAGCTTTATGGAGGAATGTTGATCACTCAGAAATATGGACAACTGAACAATTGGTGTACAAATCCTGTAAGGACAGCTTATGGGGTTAGCAACTGGAGGGTAATTAGAAACCAGTGGGAGGAATTTGCAGTAAACATAGGGTTCATTATTGGAAACGGCAGGAAATTATCATTCTGGGATGACAACTGGCTGGGACATGGGCCACTTAGAGACAACTTCCCTGATCTACATAGTCTGGTGGTAGAACCTGAGTCAACAATACAGGAAGTTTGGAGTCAACAGGGATGGAATCTTAACTTCAGAAGAGCACTAAATGATTGGGAGATTGTAAGAGTGACTGAATTTTTCAATGCTCTGGAGGTTTTCAAAGGAACATCTGAAGCAGAGGACTCTATCATCTGGAAAGGGAACAACGACAGGTGTTTCTCAGTCAAGGGGGCTTACAAGCTTCTATGCAATCCTGGACAACAACAATGCTTCTGGCCTTGGAAACTTATCTGGAAAGTAAAAGTTCCTTTTAAAGTATCTTGTTTTACATGGCTAGTAGCCAAGAAGGACTGTCTTACCCATGAGAATCTGTAAAGAAGAGGACTATTATTGAGCTCTAGATGTTTCTATGCCAAGCGGAGCAAGAAGACAACAGCCACCTTTTTCTACATTGTGTTATTACATCTCAGTTGTGGCAGTTATTCCTTGCATTGGTGAATACAACTTGGGTTATGCCCGGGACTACTTGTGATCTTTTGAGGTGCTGGAACAATGTAGGTGGCTGGGGAAGGAAGAAGAGATGGTGGAGGGCTATACCAGCTTGCATTTGGTGGAATGTCTGGAAGGAAAGAAATGATAGGTGCTTTGAAGATAGGAGGAGTTCTTTACAGAAAATTAAGTTCAACTGTATTTTGTCCTTTTATTTTTGGTGTAAAAAATTTTGCGTAGATGAAACTGAGACTTTATTAGAGTCCTTGTAAGAAGAATCTTGGACAAATGTAAATAGGTCTCTTCCTTTTTTTGTAATTGTGATTTCCAACACAAGCTTTGTGTTGATGAATATACGGTTACCTTTATCAAAACAAAAAAAAAGAAGCGAAAAGAAAATTCTGTTTTGGAGAATCATTTGAGTAGCAAAAGCTCAGGGTCAATTCACACCAAGAAATAGGTTTGGTACTTTTTTTTCCTCTGTTCAATTTTATGCTTCGTATGTATGTGTTATCATATATGAAAGTGTTTGGGTTTGTGCGGTTTACAGGTTGAGTTTTGAAGGAGTTGATCCCAAGAAATTTATTGGACTACAATGTAAGGTATGGATTGATCAAACTTAGAATGATTAGAATGTGCTGCGTACTTTTGTTATTATCAGTTTAAGAGACTAATTGTAGAGTCTTTGTTGATAGGTGTATTGGCCATTAGATGCTGATTGGTACTCTGGTCGTGTAATTGGGTACAACTCTGAGACTGGACAGCATTATGTAATTGATTTTCTGGCTCCTTTTCGTATAGATTTTGTTTGATCCTTTGACGGGTAAGTGTATGAAACAAGTTTTGAGTCCAATGCAGGTGAAATATGTAGATGGGGATGAAGAGCATTTGCTTTTATCAAATGAAAGGGTCAAGTTTTCTGTTTCACTTGAGGAGATGAGTCGTTTGAAGTTGATATGTTGCTTGAAGTTAGTATTATCAGAACTTTTGGAAATAATCACGACATACATGTGCTGAAAAACTGCATACTTCTGCAGGCTTACTTTGTGCAAATTGAAAGCACGATGAACAAGTTGATAACAGTAAGAAAGTGCATAGAGCATGCAGGAACTTGCTGCCATTAAAGATACATAAAAACGAAATAATGAATTCATTTCGAACTAAATAGTGATACTGGTTTCTTTATCCAGTTGCAGGAATATATTGATGACACAGAGGACTATATCAATATTCAGGTTACTCATTGCTGATTTAACTTCTTTATTAATACTAAGACTTTCTCGTTTTTTGGAAATAAAAATCTAAACAGCAAGTTACCTTGTTGCAGCTGGGCAATCATCGAAATCAGCTCATCCAGGTATGCTGAGACTTGCACCTATTAGCTTTGCCCGGTTTAGTGCTGCTGGCATGCTTTTTTCCCTCGCCGGAACACATATATGTGCTGCCTGATGACTCGACTTCTTGTACAAATTGTTCTAAGTACTCTCACTTCTTGTTGACTGCTGCTACTATAAGCGGTGGACATCCTTTGTTACCAGCTTGCTTGTGTACAATGTTTTAGAGGGTGGTGAAAGTCATTTCTACTGTACTGAAGGGCCATCATTTTATTTGAGGAATGCCTTTAACAATTTCAACTTCTGTTTTGTGTTTGCTCTGCTGTTCTCAGCAATACTACCCATCGCTAAGGAGTATGCTCCTGAGATGTTGGTCGTCGTTTCACCTGTCTATATCTGGATTGCATAACTCTAGACATAGTAAATATGCACAACTGATCAGTCATATCCAGCTGGCTTCTAAGATAGGAAAAAATAATTTACCTTTTCTTTTTTTCTTACTCTGTTAGTGTACATAAATTTTGTAATTAACTTGTGAAATCATATTCCTGCAAACTCATTCATTCCTGGACTCTCAAACTTAATCTCAGCAAGGTAAACTGTGCATTGTTTGTCAATATCCTATTTGTAAAGATGTCACTTATTCAGCATATTTCACAAAATGAGCTGGTGCTTTGTGTCTTAATTACAGTGTAAAACAATAGATGGGTTTTACACTGTTCTTATGTTGTCCGATTTAGTTGATTATCTACTGTAATAGCTGAATGGACTTCAGATATATGGGGCATTTTAGGATCTTTTACATTTAAGATTCTGAATGTAAATTTCGTTTAAGCATCAAATTGCATTATATCGTCATTTGATATTGACGTCAAATTGCTCCGTGTTCTTAGCATCAAGGAATACTTTACGAGCGGCTGCTGACTAATATGAATTGCTTAGGTATTATAATAATAATTTACCTTCTAAAAGCTGACTTTAGTCTAAAGGCTTTAACATCTCGAGGTATTTGCTTGTACACCGTTTTAGGATATGTTTGTTTGACAACAAACAACTACCTATGAATATTAACGTTACTGGGATAATCATTTGTGTGCCTCTGATTATCTTGGTAATCCTTCCATGGCCTAATAAAGAAGATGTTGCTCATTTTGGGATTATTTAATTGCAATCGGAATGATAATCTGTGTACTGATATCAACGTCAAATACTTGCTCAGAAATGTATATGATTTGTATTAGTCATAATGTTAAGAGGGGTGTTATTAGTTAATTACTGTACAAGAAAGTCGATTTCATAAGGATTCTCTGTTGGAACTACGATTCAGCTTTCATGGATTGCCATTTTGGGACTAAATCTTAGCATTATGAGATATTTGGATGTTACATTTATTACTTACATCTGATCGCTTGATATGATGATCTTGGTCACTTACATTTTGTGGTTTGGTGTCACAGTATGAGCACATGGTGCTACTTGACTTACTTAAGAAGGGCCATTCAGAACCAGAGAAGAAGATTCGTATAGGAGTCCGCGCTTTCCAAATCCGATTTCAGCCACAGTTAAATGTCACTGCTTCTTTGTTGTTAGGGAGGATATTTCTGTGGATGATTTTAGCTTTAGGAAGTGTTTAGATCGGATACAACCCCTTCCAGCGAACATGCAAGTAAAACATTATGCTAACGGTGGAAAAGGTGGTCGTGGTGGAGGAAGAGGAAGTGGAAATGGGCATGGCCGGGGAAGAGGAGGGAGGTGAAGATACTAAACAAGCTGACATGCCAAATTCTTCTATCAGTCTTGTTAACTGCTGTTTAAAATCCAAATTTTGGTCTGTTACATTTGTGTTCCCACAGTTTTGCCATAATGTTTTTGCAGGTAGAACTACATGATCATCTTTGCACTCCTAAAGAAACACATCATGTGCAAAAATTTGTTTTCCCTTTGAATTCTCCTAATCTAATTTTGAAAAGGATACTTGTAATAACAGCAGCCAAGAGGCAGGAATAGCAAGATTGGACATTCCTCAACTTACTACTATTATTAAATTTATTATCTTGATTGGACATTCCTTTTTTTTTATCTATTACTAACAGGGTGTGCCACTGGTTTGAGAAAGTTTGCCTGCCCAGTCAAATTACTTTCCAATCTGATACTGGTGGAGTATGTTTTCCTCTCCTCACCAGCATTCATCCTCTCAACAATTTAGTAGTGACATACCTTAATAGAGTTATGTTAGTACTATAAATTCTGCTCAATGTGACCACTGCTAGGTATAACTGCACCCTCCTTCCTATTAGTTGTGTTTAGCTATCATAAGATCATCTTAAGTAGTTAGCATTTGAAATTGCCTATAGTAATTGGGCCCGGGCTAATCCAACTAGTTATATTAGAAAGCAACAGTTGGTTTCTTCACCTGTCTCTATTATCAACATGCTTGCCCGGCTATCAAGTGTTTCTCTGTCATTTCATCATAGCCCATGGAAAAGTCAAGAGCCTTAAAATTGATAATGTTTACCATCTCAAAGGATAGCTCTCCTCCTACTTTCTCACTCCTTCCTTCTTATCTTCAAATCTTTTTGGTTTTCTTTTGATATTCCGTACGACCTTTGTTTCTTGCTCAAAGTAAGGAAAAAACAGATTGAAATCGTTTGTCTACCGCTGGGTTCTTCCGTGAACTGGTTAGTTTACACTTTCTACTAATAATATTTTTTAGTAATTTTAGGGCAAAGGAAAAAAGTCAAGATTTTCAGTTCAACAATATAAAAGGACTTGGAAATATGGGAATTATAGCTGTTGATGAGAAGTAAAAATTTACAGATCTTAGCCTTGGGGTCTGTGATAGGTATGTGACTTTTTCTTTCTCAATTAATTGTTGTGCTGATAAGATTGGGGACAGCCTCTCCATTGCTTGCATTACTTTCTTCTTCAATTGTCATATAAATCTATACTTGCATTTATCCTTTTGGACATGGTAATTGTCACAGGGGCGTTTTCTGTCCGCCGAAAATGATGCCCGATGTGCGGCAGTCAAGTCCCCACTTGACCTCAGCCTTACCCAATTTCCGTTCGGTTCCGAGGTTTAACACTTAGAATCAATTTAAGGCAACAAAATAAACAAAGGCAACACAGATTTACGGGAACCCTTTCCCAACCAGTTGTAATAAATCAATTACAAAGGAAAATCTCGAGTTAGGTAAGGTGCTGCCACCCTTGGCAGGCACCAACTCACAAAATGGCCTACTCATGCACGAATCCGCCCTATAAAAGCCCCTGCCTAAGGCTACTCGTGATGCCACTCGTTTGGCAAGGCAATGGCACATATTTTGCCATGCTCAAGCCACAAAATAGACAACCCTATGCCTATCTTTCAGACATTTCCCTCCCTAGGTACTTAGCTCGTTTTAAAGGCTGCTAGCACACATATATATAATGTAGTCAGCCCCAAAAGTGTTTCCTATGTTCAGTTGCCATCCCCCAATCCCAACTGATAGGAAATGATCCCCATGATCAAAACGTGGGGAACATGTCTCTAACATGCCCCA